TTTGTTCAAATGATCTCATATTGTGCACAAGGATGCATATTGGAATGGCAAACAATGTTGCCTATGGAAGTTTTCATTTTCTTTGGACGAAAAAACCATTTTCCATTTTTCGAGTGCCTGAAAGGAGGTTTTTTTGTGAAGGACCTCCCAAATAATTGTTGCAAAATTGGACCAACTCAATTTTATAAAATACTAGGACATATTTAATGCACAATTGACAAAATGGTTGGTTGTAAAAAGGTTTGTTCCACCTCTCGTGAAAAAGGCAAATTCCCGCCGATTTAGTTGGAAGCGGGTCAAATTTGAACTGCAGCTGCCTCATAGTTTGCTATTTATTTTTTACAAAAATCATTTCTAGGTACATAAGTACCTATTTAATCAGAGAAACACCAAAAAAATTCCAATATTCAACCACTAGCTAGGAACGGTCATTCCCGCCGTTTTGACCGCATTTTGAAACGGGCATAAAAAATTCAAAAAAAAAATCAAAAAATTGGGAAACCTTCGCATTGTGTCATCATATGTGACCAAGCTTTCAAGAAAAATAACAAACTTGTAATACGACAATTATTTAAAAAAAGTGTTCTCAGAAATGAGCTATCATGGGTGAAGATTCATGGATTTCAAGCCAAATGATCAATCTTATGGCCACATTCATGGCATAGTTTGTTCAAATCATCTCATATTGTGCACAAACGTGCATATTGGAATGGCAAACAATGTTACCTAAGGAAGTTTTCATTTTCTTTGGATGAAAAAACCATTTTCCATTTTTCGAGTGCCTGAAAGGAGGTTTTTTTGTGAAGGACCTCCCAAATAATTGTTGCAAAATTGGACCAAATCAATTTTCTAAAATACTAGGACATATTTAATGCACAATTGACCAAATGGTTCGGTGTAAAAAGTTTTGATCCACCTCTCATGAAAAAGACAAATTTCCGCCGATTCAGTTGGAAGCGGGTCAAATTTGAACTGTAGCTACCTTGTAGTTTGCTCTTTATTTTTTTTTAAAATCATTTCTAGGTACATAATTATCTATTTAATCATAGAAACACCAAAAAAGTTCCAAGATTCAACCACTAGCTAGGAACGGTCATTCCCGCCGTTTTGACCGCATTTTGAAACGGGCATAAAAAATTCAAAAAAAATCAAAAAATTGGGAAACCTTCGCATTGTGTCATTATATATGGCCAAGTTCCTAGGAAAAATAACAAACTTGTAATACGGCAATTATTTTAAAAAGTGTTCTCAGAAACGAGCTATCACATGTGGAGATCAATGGCTTTCAAGCCAAATGATCAATCTTATGGCCATATCCATGGCATAGTTTGTTCAAATGATCTCATATTGTGCGCAAGGGTGCATATTGGAATGGAAAACAATGTTGCCTAAGGAAGTTTTCATTTTCTTTGGACAAAAAAACCATTTTCCATTTTTGAGTGCCCAAAAGGAGGTTTTTTTTTTGTGAAGGACCTATCAAATAATTGTTGCAAAATTTGATCAAATCAATTTTCTAAAATACTAGGAAATATTTAATGTACAATTGACAAGATGATTGGGTGTAAAATGTTTTTATCCACCTCTCGTGAAAAAGACAAATTTCCGCCGATTCAGTTGGAAGCGGGTCAAATTTGAACTGCAGCTGCCTCATAGTTTGCTATTTATTTTTTCCAAAAATCATTTCTAGTTACATAAGTACCTATTTAATCATAAATACATGGTTTGGTGGCGATACGTCAAGGTTTGGGTGGTGGCCGAGGGCCCCAACTCTAGAGCGCGTAAACTCGCATGCCCGTCGCGTGGTCACCGCATGACCGTGGTGTTGCCATGTGTTCTGGGCGGCCTAGGCATGTCTAGTGGGTTGGGCACTCCCCAGATAGGTGCTAGGAAGAAAATTACAACATAAGATTCTCACGAGGAGGCCGATCGATGCTCAAACATGAATTAGCAGCCAAGTGTTTGATTAGCGGTACGGGAAATGTACATGGCTAATGGGCGTGAGTTTTGGCTGAGGATGATCAGTTACTAAGAAGACCGTCTTCACAAATTTTCAGCTCAAAAGGAGGAGCCTAGGTGGTACTTGCTTTGCAAACTACCACACTGAACATGACTACGAATGTTGAAGCTCGGCTCAATATAATAAATGGATTGAGCTGCCATTTGGTGGAGGATGGTTATTTGGGCATAGGAAAGTGCTGTAGAAAATGGATACTATTTGGACATGCCAAAGTGGTACTTCCTTCACAAACTGTTGTTCTGAACAGAATAGAAAAATTGAATATTTTTGAATTATTTTTGAACTAGGCAAGGAAGGTTTTTACATATTTGACGAAGATATGGCCCAAAAAATTTATGAGATTTTTTTGGGAATTTTGGGAATGACAGAAATATAGGTTGCTTCACAACTTAGGGCAAAAACTGCCACATACATGACACATAGGCAAAACTGATGAGATGGCGCCTAGTCATAGCAACCCACCACAATTTACAAGGCTATGACCATCTATATTGGTCGTTAACAACTAGAAATAAGGCTGCGGACTAGCGTTGTTTGCTTTATGACCATTTCTTCTAATGAAATTATGACCTTTCTGACCAAAATGGTCGTTATGGTTTAGGGTTTAGAGCCCCCCACACAGCTTTTGACCAATTGGTCTAAAATGGTCATAAATTTATGACCAATTCTTCGAGGGTCACTGACAGAAGGTCATAAGTTGACATATTTCTTGTAGTGTTACTTCCATTTTCTTGGAAATGCCTAAACATGGACTCAAGAAGATAAATATGATTTTCCCACATAATTTTCTCAACTTTTTCATGCACTTGCAGTTCAAATTAGAATTATATTCACCAAATGCCTATAAAATGCACTTAATGACTTAAATAGAGCAAATTGACATCTAAAATGACAAATTTTGACATGGATTATTTTATGATGTATCTTAAGTGTAGAAAAACAATCAAGGCCAACAAATGAAGTAATGATCACATCACCTTCACACATGACTCATTTCCTCTCAAAACCATGATTCTTCCTCGGAGATGATCTGGTTTCTAAGTAGTGTACGCTACAATTTTTGTGAAACCTTCTCAAATTTTTAACACTACTTCCTAGGTGTCATATGCGGGCATGCCAAGCTTCATGCTTTTTGCACTTTGTTTGCATTTTTTGAAATTAAAAAACAACAAACTTAATATTTGGGTTGTGTCCTGGTACCCTCATGTTTAAAATTCATTTCCATTTCTTGGATAAGGCCTAAACATGGACTCCAGAAACACAAGTATGAATTTTCAACACAATTTTTACATTTTTTTCATGCACTATCAGTTCAAAATGTTGTTATAATAACTAAATGCTAGAAATGCATTTAACGACTTAAATATAGCAAACCGACCACGAAAGCTGCTAAATTTTGACATAGATCATTCAGTGGTGTATGTTAAGTGTACAAAACATTTCAAAGAGCATTGGAATGAAGTTTGGTCTTGAAAATCCAAATGGATACATGCATCTTATTGATTTTTAATTGTTTACCGAGGGCCTTATAAAAACACTTGGCAAAGACCTATTTGCCGAGTGACTTATGAATGACAATCGACAAAGACCCTGCTTTTGCCAAGGGTTTTCTGTTTGTCGATTACCCATTTTGTGCCGAGTGTTTTGTGTCTAGGTATTCGACACAGACCTTGTTTGTTGAGTACCCCGTAAAAAAACACTCGGCAAATAGCCCGACACTGGGCAACATGTGTTTTCTTCGTAGTGAATCCCATATGTGAGAATAGAGATCTTTTTGATGTTTATGTTTTCAGACATGCAACTAAGTTTTCCTTCAAATCTCATATTCAAGAATCATTGTAATTATACAACAGAAATATATATATATATATATATATATATATATATATATATAAATTATGAACATGAAATAAAATAGCAATTTTAATATTACATTTAGTGCATATTTTTCCAACACCGCGGTCTGTAGGTCATATATAAAATAATGTTCTTTGAAGTAAAATAATAACTTTATTATTGTCTTTAGGACATATTTCCAACACCACCGGTAGGTCTCTTATGGAGCCGCTTCGGCTCGACCACACCCCGGTACACACTCTTGCGTGTATGCACCAGGTGACACAGCAAACGGACCAGGCCCCCTCCTCGCGTGACATCCCCGGCTGTCAACGATCCGCTCCTCATAGTTGAGCAGCGCCGACCTATGCGTGGATCCTCGCCGAAGAAGGAAGGCCGGCCAAAACGCGAGGAGGCTCGCCGCCCACAAGTCGGAGACAAAATCGACTTGCCAGCGTGTGTCGCATGCCATTTCTTCAACTTTCCAAGCTAGTTGAGTTGGGCGCATTCCGCTTCTATTTTTTTTAAGCAGTACGACCTTATTCCTTAGATAATTGATTGAAATATCGTTTACAAGGTGAGTTTGGCGCATTGCTCTTTGTTCTATCTGAATGACTATCTCGCAATGTTTATGTGGCGCTGCAGCGGCTAGTGAACTTTGGCCCTCGCCTATTGGAAATTCGGGAGAAACAATTTCATAGAACTTTTGTGTTGTTGTTTCTTTTGCTCCTCTGTTTTGCTCATACGTTTTCTCAGAACTTAGACATTTTCATATTCTCTTGCTTTCGTCTGCCCCCCTTTTTTTTATTAAAAGGGATTTTCTCCCCCGATTTCATATAAAGAAATCAATGTGAAGCCAAAATGCCCAGGATCTCACATAGTTCAGTTTGTGTAAGGTTCGAAATATTTATTGTCAAGTGTTAGACTCGAACAGCAACGACGGTGAGCAGCAACCTGGCTATTAAAAACACGCACCAACCATGCCACAGCCTCCAATTCGGTCGTTTACGGTTCCCCTAATTTTGCAACGCCGTGCATGCCCGCGCGCATGCAGTATATATACAAGACGGGAATCCTCCCCCCGACTTCTCCCCACCTCAAATCGATCTCCGGCGTTCAGCTCCCTCGCTCCTCGCCGTGTCGCGCCATGGGTTGCGGCACCTCCAAGGAAGCCGTGCTCAGCAGCGACGGCAGCGGCAGGTGCAGCCGCAGGTTCCGGCGGAAGTCCAGCGTCGTCGCCACCGCCGCCCACCAGCCGGTCGCCACCAAGGACAATGGCGACGACGTCAAGCTCCACAAGTCGGCGTCGGCGAAGGAGAAGGCCCCTAAGGAGCGGGCCGGCAAGGCCGGTTTGGCTGCGCTCGTCGTCAAGGACGGCGACGAGGCTGCGTCCACCGTGATCGGCGCCAAGGTCGTCGGGGAGAAGAAAGAGGGGGAGAGCAAGCAGGACGGTAAGAAGGGAGCAGTCGCCGTCCCCGACGACAAGGGGAAGGGGACGGCGACCGAGGAGGCTGCCGGGCCGAAGAAAGACGAGGGCGTCAGGGACAAGGAGGTTGTCGCCGATCGGGATGACGGTGTGGCATCCACGAGCGAGAGCGTCATCGTCGTCGAGGAGATGAGGAATGGCCAGCCTGTCGAGGTGTCGATCGCGCCTACCGTCGAGGCGGGAAGAGACCGTCGGCGGGGCGAGAATGAGGAAGGGTGGTCGGCCGAGGCGATTGAAGACGAGGCGGCAACGTCGAACGAGAAGGACATCGAGGAGATCAACGTGGAGGATGACGGTAGTGTCGCCATCCCGGATGCCCCCGTGGGCGTAGTCACCATTGAGGATGACAGTATCATCTCGGCCGATGCTCCGGCGATAGAGAAGGACGAGATTGGCACGTTTGTGCCTGCTCCGGTGGCCAACGAAGATGCCGGTGCCACCTTCCTGGCTGCCCCGGTGGCCGGTGATGATGGCAGTGCTTCCTTCGTTGCTGCGCCGGCGGCCAAGGAGGACGAACTTGTATCCATCGCGTCTGCTCCGTTGGCGGGGGAGATTGAGGGTATCACCATGTCGGTTGCTCCGGTTGCCGACGAGATTGATGTTGCCACCTTCCCGGCCGCTCCGGTGGCCAAGGAGGAGGAAAGTGAAACTGCCGCCTTGGTGGATGCTCCGGTCGCCGAGGAGGTTAACGTCGCCGCCTTCCCATCCGCTCCGGTGGCCAAGGAGCAGGAAACTGAAACTGCCGCCCTCGTTAATGCTCCGGCCGCCGAGGAGGTTGGCGTTGCCTCCTTCCCGGCCGCTTCGGTGACCAAGGAGCAAGGAAGTGAAACTGCCGCCCTCGTGGATGCTCCGGTCGCCGAGGAGGTTGGCGTTGCCGCCCTCCCGGCAGCTCCGGTGGCCAAGGAGCAGGAAAGTGAAACTGCCGCCCTGGTGGATCCTCCGGTCGCCGAGCAGGTTGACGTTGCCTCCTTCCCGGCCGCTCCGGTGACCAAGGAGCAGCAAAGTGAAACTGCCGCCTTGGTGGATGCGCCGGTCGCCAAGGATGAGCAAACTGTAACTGCCGCCTTGGTGGACGCCCCGGTGGCCAAGGCAGATGGAAGTGCAGCCACCGCCGAGGCTGCGCCGGTGGTCACGCGGGAGCAAGAAGAAGATGCCGTCACCGTAGACGCCCCTGCCCCGACGACGGCCAACGAGGACGAAATTGCCACCGGGGCGGCTGCTCCTGCAACCAACGTGGACGAAAGCCCCGCATTCCCCACCAAGCCGGTGCCGGAGGTGGAGGTGCCAGAGGCGGCAGAGCAACCCACGCCTTCCTTGAACAACGACGATCTGAGAAGCGAGCCAGAGCTGCCGGCGCCTACTGTCGTCAAAGAGGCCGCAGTCGAAGCCAATGATGAGACCGAGCAAACTAAGGAGGCAACGGCGACCGAGGAGGAGGTGGTCACCGTCGAGGAGGTCGACGTCGTGCCGCAAGAGGTCGAGAGCGTCTCCCGGGAGCCGGAACAGGAGGAGACATCCGCGGCCACTTTGAGAGACGATGATGGTACGTAGGTTCAATTTCTTCATTTGCTATCCATGTCATTGCACATTTGCATCTTCAAGATTTCTTTGTTTCTTCTCACAGTTTATAACATTTCGATTTGATCTGTGGTTACCGTTTGCAGGGGAATCGGACGGAAAAAAAGGCACTGATGTGAAGGAGGCCGCAATAAGGGCAGAGGAAAAGGGAGGGGAGGATAAGCTGACCGTCGAGGAAGAGAAGAAGGACGGCGAAGAACAAGAACCAGCCGTCGCTCCGGTCGAGTCATCGTCTAGTTGAAATTGAGATGTGAGATCGTGCATGCCAACTCGGATGTATTGGTGCGTGTATGAACCACTGAATGTACAGTTTGCTCTCTTCCTTTTTCTTTTTCAGCCAAAAGGATCCTTCCCCAATGTAAAAAGCTTTGCGTATCGACGCATTCGTAGAAACAAATTATGTACACGGGGGAATGTTTGGCTCGATCTACATCCAACAACAATTAAGCTAGGTACCATCACATGCTTTTGGGTATGTGTTTCCCTGCATGGTGGGGCGACCAGTGTTTCCACTGCACCGCCGCCACCCCCAACCCCCTCTTCGTTGTCGCCACCAGAGGCAGCCGCCGAGCAACCTTACCCATCCATCGAGGAGGGTGCCGGTCAGGCCTCAGATGCTTCGTCATTCGAGCGGAGGGCCTCTAGTGCGCCAGCACGACGGCCTTGGGTGGTGGGGTACCAAGGGCGGCCACGTGGGCAGTGAGGCATCGACGCAAGAGGTTCGTTGCCCCGGGGTTGCAGCGTTTGGCCCCGGTTGCTTGGATCTGAAGCTCGGCGCCCTCCCTCCGCCTCTAGTCCCTTCCCCACCGAATCCACACTAGTAGAAAAAGGGCCTACTGTCCAGCTCATTAGTGCCGGTTGCAACGACTAGGCATGCGGCGCTCATTAGTCCCGGTTCGTGGCGATCCTCTAGTGCCGGTTCGTGCCACATATCGGGACTAAAGAAGTGGTGGCAGGCTGGTGGCAGGCTGGGGCCCCACCAACATCTTTAGTCCCGGTTCGTATAACCAACCATGACTAAAGATCATCCTATATATACCCTTCGTCGAGCCCGAGCTCTTTGTTCTTCCCTTTTCCTCTCCTCTCTGTTTTCTTCCTCTCCTCTCGAGCTCATCCTCCATTTTTGCCAAAATTTATCAAGATTTGAAGGCACCCCATCCATCCAAGTGAGCACAAAGGTTAGCAACTTTGTCCTTTCATCTTTCATTGCTACATTAGCTATTGCAATGCTCTATAAGTATAGTGATTTGTGGGTTTTAGTTTGGGAGGAATTATATGTGGTAGTTTATTTGATTTATATGCAATTTGAGCTCAAAATAACTCTTAGTTTGCATATGTAGGTGTGGTTTACTTAGTGCCTTCCCGTCTCCGTCCTAACCACCGTCGATCGCCCGCACCGTCCCGTTGCCGGCACCACCTTGTGGTTAGCCTCTTGTTCTTATCCTTCTTATGTAAAAAAAATAAATCATGTTTGTGTGATTTACATATATAGTTACTTGTATAATTTTCTTACCCGTACGTTGTATGTTAGTGCCATGGTTTTGATATCCATCCCCATCGGTCCTCGTCCGGTTTATGATTCAGATGTGGTATATTCTCTTTTATAACTATTTGTTGCATTTCTTGTTTATGACAAATCATGCCCATCAAGTTGACATAGATATTTTTATCTAGGAAGTATGTGAACCGGAAATTCCAACCGACCCTCTTGTCGAGAGGTTAAATTTAGTTGAAAAAGAAAACAATTACTTGAAGAAAAAATTGAAAATAATTGAGGAGGAGAAGATGAAATTGGAGTTGCATGTTGCCGATGTCGTCGATGATCACAAGATCAAGATGGAGAAAATGCGCTTGAAGATTAGAAAGATTAGAAAATATGCCATTGATACTGAGGCTTGGTATCATTATGCTGTTGGATCAATTGTTACCTTAGTTGCGATCTTGATCACATTTATTGTTGCATTTAAATGCTTTAGCTAGAGAGTTTGTATGTTGTTTTATGAGAATAAGTGTGTATGAAATTTATGTATGAACTTGATGTATGAACTTGTATTAATTTGGTCTTTTCGGTGATGTGTAATGAAGATGAGCCGGCAATGAATGTACGATGACCGATGCTCTCCCCAGTTCATTAATGGCGTGCGTACTATTATGCTTGCGGCTGAGGCAAACAAGCGAGCGGATGATTTTATGTCTTGTCCATGTGCTGGCTGTAAGAATGATCACAATTAGTCTAACTCAAGAACCGTCACTGGCACCTATTTGAGTCCGGTTTCATGTCCCACTATAATGTTTGGACCAAGCACGGAGAAAGAGGGTTATTATGGAAGACAATGAAGAAGAAGAGGACGACGACAACTATCCTGGCCATGGGTTCCCTGAATACGATGGTACAACAGCGGGGGAAGAAGTTGAGCTGACAATGCAGAAAGAAGCTGAAGAAGAGGCATCAGATGAGCCCATTGATGATCTAGGTCGGGCCATTGTTGATGCAAAGAGAAACTGCGCAAGTGAAAAGGAGAGGCTGAAGTTGCAGCGCATGTTAGAGGATCACAAAAAATTATTGTACCCAAATTGCGAAGCTGACAAGAAAAAGCTGGGCACCACACTGGAATTGCTGCAATGGAAGGCAGAGAATGGTGTATCTGACAAGGGATTTGGAAACTTGCTGATAATATTAAAGAAGATGCTTCCAAAGGACAACGAATTGCCCGAGAGTACGTACAAAGCAAAGAAGGCTGCCTGCCCTCTAGGATTAGAGGTGCAGAAGATACATGCATACCCTAATGACTGCATCGTCTACCGTGGTGAGTACGAGGATTTGAACGCGTGCCCGGTATGCGGTGCATTACGCTATAAGATCAGCCGCGAGCGCTCCAGGAAGAATATTCCTGCCAAGGTGATGTGTGCTCCTATAATACCACAGTTGAAACGTTTGTTCCAAAACAAAGAGCATGCCAAATTGATGCAATGGCACAAAGAAGACCGTAAGAAAGACAAGAAGTTGAGAGTACACGCTGATGGGTCACAGTGGAGAAAAATTGAGAGGAAATGGGGGGACTTTGCAGGTGACGCAAGGAACATATGGTTTGGTCTAAGCGCGGATGGCATTAATCCTTTTGGGGAGCAGAGGAACAATCATAGCACCTGGCCTGTGACTCTATGTATATATAACTTTCCTCCTTGGTTGTGCATGAAGTGGAAGTTCATTATGATGCCAGTGCTCATCCAAGGCCCTAAGCAACCCGGCAACGACATTGATGTGTACCTAAGACCATTAGTTGAAGAACTCTTACAACTGTGGAATGAAAAAGGTGTACGTGCGTGGGATGAGCTTGATCAAGAAAATTTTAACCTACACGCGTTGCTGTTTGTGACCATTAATGATTGGCCCACTCTTAGTAACCTTTCAGGATAGACAAACAAGGGATACTGCGCATGCACGCACTGTTTGGATGATACCGACAATATATATTTGGATAATTGTAAGAAGAATGTGTACCTGGGACATCGTCGATTTCTTCCGAGCAGGCATCCCGTAAAAAAGAAAGGCAATCATTTCAAAGGTGAGGCAGATCACCGGTCGAAGCCTCGCCACCGTACTGGTGATGATGTACATGATATGGTCAAGGATTTGAAGGTAATTTTTGGAAAGGGTCCTAGCGAACAATCTGTTTCGAATGAAGCCGATGGACGCGCACCCATGTGGAAGAAGACGCGCACCCTGCTCATTATGAAGGTCCCGTCTGGCTTCTCGTCGAATATAAAGGGAATAATAAATATATCAAAGAAAAAGTTCCAGAACCTAAAGTCTCATGACTGCCACGTGATTATGACGCAACTGCTTCCGGTTACATTGAGGGGTCTTCTACCGGAAATCGTTCGATTAGCCATTGTGAAGCTATGTGCATTCCTCAATGTAATCTCTCAGAAGGTAATCGATCCAGAAATCATACCAAGGTTAGAGAATGATTTGGTGCAATGTCTTATCAGTTTTGAGTTGGTGTTCCCACCATCCTTCTTCAGCATCAGGACACACGTCCTAGTTCATCTATGCGTAGAGATTAACGTTTTGGGTCTTGTATTTCTACATAATATGTTCCCCTTCGAGAGGTTCATGGGAGTATTAAAGAAATATGTTCATAACCGTGCTAGGACATAAGGAAGCATCTCTAAGGGCCATGAAAATGAGGAGGTCATTGAGTTTTGTATTGACTTTATTCCTGACCTTAAGCCAATTGGTGTTCCTGAATCGCGGCATAAGGACAGACTGGGTGGAATCGACATGCTAGGACCGAAACAAATAATATGTATGGATGGGCATTCTCCCACTCAAGCACACTACACAGTTCCACAAAATTCTACCTTGGTGGCTCCGTATATGGAGGAACACAAGAATATTCTACGCTCCAAACACCCGGAGCGGTCTGACGACTGGATTACACGTGAACAAACGAGGACTTTTGCCGGTTGGTTGCAGACACGTGCCATGCATGACGATGCTGTTGAAGATGACCTGTACTTGTTGTCCCAGTTACCATCTTTGAATATAATGACTTTCAAAGGGTATGAGATAAATAGGAATACATTTTACACGATCACCCAAGATAAGAAGAGCACCAACCAAAACAGTGGTGTCCGCTTTGATGCAGCAACCAAGAGGGGAAAGGAAATTTATTATGGTTACACAGAGGAGATATGGGAACTTGACTCTGGACGTGGTTTGAAGGTCCCTTTGTTTCGGTGCAAATGGGTCAATCTGACACGAGGCGGGGTAACAGAAGACCCGCAGTACGGAATGACAACAGTGGATCTCAACAATCTTGCGTACGTAGACAAACCATTCGTCCTAGCCAATGATGTGGCGCAGGTTTTCTATGTGAAGGACATGTCTACCAAGCCGAGAAAAAGAAAATATAAGGAAGCGAATACATCATATGATGAGCCAAAGCGCCACATATTTCTTTCAGGAAAAAGAAACATCGTGGGAGTGGATGATAAGACAGACATGTCAGAAGATTATGAAAAGTTTCATGAAATTGCTCCCTTCACA